CTCCTGTATAAGGCAATGGGAGATCTGGAACCCTCTGGAGACTATTAGCTCCTTTTGGGGGATGCCATAATTTGCCAATAATCTAATATGCTACCCAGGGGTATCCCTGGGCTGTGGGTAAGGGTCTATATAGTTTTTTTCTTGTTTTTCTAGAAAGACTCTTTGTATCTATGGGTAAGGAACAGGCATGGGAAAGCCTGCCAATAATTCAACCTGTTGTAACTGATTCATGAATTCTTTTATGGGAACAATCGGGGATAGTTTCTTACTCAGGTTTATAAACTCCTTGTTTAAAACAATCTGGGCAGTATTCAATAGTCTAGGGAGAACTAGTTGTCCCATCAGAATTTCCCTCAAAATCAATCACTGACTCTTTTCGAGCCTCTTTCTTCTCATGGCCTGTTCTTATGGGAATCAGGGTACAAAGTAAGACCATGATTAATATTAGCAAGGAAATTATGAAAAGCAATCCCCAGAAAAATTACCGCCCCCCTTTGTATGCCACGCTCTCTTCCAGGAAGATGGATTCCCTTGAATGCCCTCTTTCCACGTTCAGACCTTGTCAAAAAACATGGTTGGAAGAGGGCGTGGCAACCCAGGCGGGGAGGTGAGGTGACAGACCCTAGACAGGGAACTCAGTCTCACACAGGGTGCGGTGTGGACAGGCCTTGCAGGGGGTGAGCGGAGTCCCGGGTTCTGACTGGGCCCGGAAGGGAAAGGATGTGCACACACAGACGCACAGCCGGTCCTACCTGAGCAGGGGCTGAGCAGCTGGACCACGGCGAGGCACACAGGGAGGGCAGGCAGATGGGGCACCAGGCACCTCCCCATCCTGACCTGCTGTGCACAGAGAGAGAGCCAGCAGGGGCTGGGCAGCAGGGACCACCTGGAAGGAGGAGGAGGGATTCCACGTGAGAGGCTGCCGGCCCAGGCTCGACCCGGGCACCATCGCCATCACTGGGGACCCCGAGAGCCTCCTCTGCAAATGTCCCCTGGGCGTTTCTTCACCTTGGATCCCACCGTGGAAATCAGCCATGAAACGTGGAGCAGTAATGCAGGTACCTTATCCCTCGCCAGCAGGGAGCACCGGGCTCTCCTGTGGGAACCTGCTCAGAAGCCCCCCACTTGCCCACACTTCCCTGCCCCAGCCAGGTGCCCCCCCCAGACCACCCTCTTGAGGAAGGCAGGCCCCTAGGCTCTTAGTCTGCATCCCGCTGCTGCCCCCTGCAGGCCAAGCTCTGCACAGCAGCCAGCGGGTCCCAACCCTTCACCTTCCTGCTGCTCAGCCCCTCCCAGGGGGTCCTGTGTCACCCAGGGCAGAAGCCCAGGGCCTTGGCCCCCTGTGCTTTAAGTTACCTGAATGGTCTAAGTCTAAAAGTTTCCAGAGAGGGGAACACATTTCCACATATTTGGGAGGATATTTATTGATTTTCATTCCTATCACAGACCATTTTAAAATATAAAACATAAAGGAATGAAATTTAAATAACTTAGAATGGTAATTACATGCTGTTTTTCATGCGAACGTGAACTCTTGTGGATGCATTTGGCCACAGGTGCACAAGGGGCGACCCAAAAAAGAGAATTTTACTTATAAATATTTAGTTTTTATTCTCACACCTTTACCCTTCGGTCACCCTCACATGCTCCCCCCTGGATGGGAGGGACACCCGTGGGGACGTCCCCTCCACTCCCCTGAACACTCTCTGCACTCGGCAGCTCTGACGCCTCTTAGAGCTTCTGGCCGTTTTGTTTCACGTCTTACACGTCCGGATGTTTCTTTCCCTTTGTGGACTCTTTTCACGCAGGAAGGAAAAACAGTCACTCTGGGTGAGATCGGGTGAATCGGGAGGATGGGGGACGTGGGTTTTTAGTCAAAAACTGGTGAACACTCAGCGCAGGTGGGCAGGGGGACTGGTAAGTCACCCATTGTGAAATGGGCCAGTGCTCTGGGAGAGTCGACAAAAAAAATCAGAGAAGCCCAACCCAGCCTCTCACAACAACGCCAGTTGGTCACGGATGCAGATGGGCTCCTAGAACTCTCACTAGTGGGGAATCCTAGCTTCAAGGTGCCCACCCTCCAGAAGGTAATTCCTACATTTTTTCTTCGGTCCATTCTTGTATACTAAATGCCCTGAACAAGTTTCTTTTTTTATGATTTCGTTTATTTACTTTTAGAGAGTGGAAGGGAGAGATAAAGAGAGGGAGAGAAACATCCCTCTGTGGCTGCCTCTTGCACGTACCCTAGACATGTACCCAGGCATGTGCCCTAGACTGGGAATCCTCCAGCCACGCTTTGGTTTGCAGGCCGGTGCTCAAACCACTGAGCCGCACACAGCCAGGGCTGAACAAGTTTATCCTTAGTCCCACGGATTACACTGGCAGGAATTATTCGCAGGAAAAGCTGGCATTAACACAAAGGTTCGTATTTAATTCTGTTCATTAGTAAAATCTACAATAGCAAAATGTATACATTGCATCCAATTTGTTATAATTGTAAATAAAAATGTATGTTAAAGACATAATTCCTGACCTGGCTGGTGTGGTTCAGTGACTGACCGCCGGCCCGGGACCCAAAAGGTGGTTAGTTTGATTCCCACTCAGGGCACATGTCTGGGTTGCAGGCCAGGTCCCCAGTAGGGGGTGGGCGTGAGAGAGGCAACCACACGTTGAGCTCTCTCTCCGTCTTCCTCCCTCCCTTCCCCTCTGTCTAAAAATAAATAAAATAAATATTTAAAGAAACATAATTCCTAGACACACAACATGCAACGGTGAGAAGCCGAAAGCTCCCCCTCTCCGATCAGGAGGAAGACAGAAGCCCACGCTCACCACCTCCCCGCACCAGGGTACTGGGAGTCCGAGCAACAGTGGTCACGCGAGACAGAGACAAAAAACAAGCAAATCAGAGGGAGAAGGAGCCTTCGCACTGCTCGCAGACGGCAGGACATGGTACATGAGGGACCGTCTGAGGACCCACAAACTCCCGTGAGAACGTGGAAATGAAGGCAGTGAGGTCGCAGGACACAACGTGGACACGGGTGCACTTCCATGCAGCAGTGACGGGTAACCAGAGGGAGGTGTCATCAGCCCCCTCCCTGCGGTTGCGTCTGAAAGCAGAAATTTCAGGATTCCTTGTTGTCCTTCTGAGGAGAAGGCCATCAGTGTTTTAACAAGGACAGCCTGAGTCTGCATTTGGCTTCGGGCAGCGAGGGCGGTGTGACAATGTTGCTCCTGCCGACCCTGAGCTCTGTGTGTCCCCTCTTCGTCTCCTTTCTGGGTTCCTACAGTCGTCAGGGCGCAGGCTGTCCGCTCTCTGGTTGCACTTCTTCCCAGAAGTTGTCACACTGTCCCTGCTGTCCAAAGCCAAGCCCAGACTCAGGCTGTCCTTGTTAAAACACCCGATGGCCTTCTTCTCAGAAGGACAACAAGGAATCCTGAAATTTATAGGGAACCACAAAGGACACCACGTGACCAAAAAACCATCTAAATACAGAACCAAATTAAATGCATCGCACCCCGATGTCACAGCACTGGCACAAAACAGACGCACAGATCAATGGGACAGAGCTCACAGCCAGACACGAAGTGTCACCTACACGGACACTCGCCCACGACAGAGGAAGCAAGGACATACAATGGGGGAAAGACAGTCTCTTCAACAGACCTTGGGACAACTGGACAGACACGTGCAGGAGACCAGGCTTGGGTCACCTCCTGACACCGCGAACAAGAAGGACCATAAAACCCGTGAACGACATGAATGGGACCCCAAACCAGAGCCCTGGAGGAAACACAGGCTCCGAACCCCGGCACCACCCCTCACACTGTCTCTCTGGGGTGACCGCCTGGGGGGGGGCAGCAAATGGAAACTGAACAGATGGGACCACGTGGAACTGAGGTGTCCGCACAGCAGAGGAAGCAGCAACGCAGTGAGAAGACAACTCAGAGATGGAAGAAGGTCTTGGCCGACGATACGATCAGCCAGGGGTTAGTATCCAAAATGGACAAAGAACACAGATCATTTAACACCAAAAAATATCCCCCAAACAGTTGGAATTTGCAAATGGGCCGACCACCTGAACACACATTTCTCCAAAGAACAGACACGCGGACTGGGGCCCCTCTGTGGTCAGACCGTGTGGCAGGTCCCGGCTCCAACGGACGTGTGTGCGCGTTGGTTCAGATTTGAGGTTTTACAAATAATTGTGTCACGGACATCTTTACACGCACATCTTTAAGGCACGCACCTGGTAACCCGCCCCCCACTGTCTCTAACACCCTCTCTCAGCGGGTACAGGGACGACCTGCCCACCTAGATGTGACGGCAGGGACACAGCCCGTGTGCCCGAGAACTCCAGACACGGACTTCACAGGACTGACTCCCACCCGCAGGCATTCAGCTCCCAGACGCTTGCAGACCTTGAACCAGTCGTGGGCACAGTCTGTGTTGCTTGCACACGGCCCCTCAATGCAGAATGCTCAGCACCTCCCGTGACAGTTTCTCCAGTTCTTTTTCCTTCCTTCTCCCTCCTTACGAACCCCCTGCCCAGACTTTCCGGCCACCGGTGGGAGGAGGCCCCAGCTGTGTGTGGGTAGGCCGGTCACTCAACCTCTCTGAGCCTAACGTTCTGGAAAGTTTCCCTCAGGTCCCTGTGCCCTGGGTCCTGAGGAGATACTTGCTGCTTATTTGTCACTGAGGCAGACATGTGTGTTGGGGGGAGGCTGCGGCCTTTCCAACTGGCCTGAGCCCCTGTTCGGATTTAAGCCCCCCAACCCTGTGCAGGTGACTGTGAGTGGAGGGTCGCTGCCACGGTGGCAGGAAATGCGGGGGGTGGGAAGGTGGCAAACCCGAGCCTTCTCCACAGACTCAGGGCACCCTGGCCACCTGGACACTCTGTTCACCTGTGACACCTGCCCTTGGGGTGATTCCTACCAGCGGGATGGACATGGGGCGGGCGGCAGAAACCAAGGGGCCCCCAAGTCTCACTGAGCCCACTCACCCTCCCGGCACTCGGCACACGGCAGGCACGAGGTCTCCTGGTGGCAGGGGGCGGAGAAGGAGCCAGGCTCGCACGGGCTTGCAAGTACCGTGGATGCACGGGGGACAGGGGCTCCCTGAGGAACTCATACACAGACACCACCAGGTGACCCATGTCACGTGGGCTCCAAACTCCACCCAACATCATGAAATGTCCCCTCTGACCCTCCAGGGCCTTTGTTGTCTTCAGACCTTGCAGGTAGGTCTTTGGGTCGTTGTGACTTCATTTCTGCATCTGCCGTGACATGAGGGCCCAACTCCTCCTGGGCCTGGGGACGTCCAGGGTCCCCAACACCACTTACTGAAAAGTTGTTTTTCTGATAGAGGGGTCAGGGCTCAGGGTTTGTTTCTTTAAAAATCTCCCCGTGTCCATGAGCAGGAGGGTGAACATCACCCTGCTTGTCTGTACCTGCATCTGAGTGTCACTCGGCCACACAGAGAGGTGATGCTTTGGCAGATCCCACCTTCACCCAGGGCCTAGGGACACCAGCCAGAACCAGAGAAGCCAGACACACAAGGCTACATTTCATTCGTTGCTGTCTGTGATACCTTCGACTTCCTCTGGGAAAACCACTGCCCTGTGATCCTAAAAACTGACCCTGGACCTGTATGAAAACTACCACTCTGCATCCCTGAAAACTGGCCCCCATCCTCCCTGATATCTGCCCCTCAGCTGACCTGAAAATGGGCCCTCACCATACCTGAACAGAGGCCCTCATCCTCCCTAAAAACTGCCCATGTGCCTCTCTGGAAACTAACCTGAGCCTAAATGAAAACTACACCACTGTTTCCCTGAAAACGGCCCCTCTGACCTGAAAACTGGGCCTTAGCCACCCAGAAAATTTTCCCTGTGCCACCATTAAAACCACCTGGGCATCCCTAAATAATGTCCACTGGCCACTCTGATAACTGCCCCAGAGCCTCTCTGGAAACTGACCCTCAGTCTCTCAGAAAACTGCCTCTCAGGCTACCTGAAAACAGCCCCTCCACCTCCCTGAAAACTGCCTGTCAGCCTCCCTGAAAACTGGCCCTTGGCCTCCCTGAAACCTGCCCCACACCCTCTGTGATAACTGCCCCTCAGCCTCTCTAAAAACTGCCCCTCAACCTCCATTAAAACTACCTCTCCGCCTCTCTGAATACTGCCCTGCCGCTTCTCTGAAATCTGCCCCTCAAACTCGCTGAAAACGGCCCCACAGCCTCTCTGAAACCTGCCAACAGGCTCCCTAAACAATGCCCCTCAGCCTCCCTGAAAACCACTTCTCTGCTGCTCTGAAAAAGTGCCCCCTAACTGCCTGCAAACTGCACCTCAGCATCTTTGAAAACTTCCACTCAGCCCACCTTAAAACTATACCTCAGGCTCTGTGAGAACTGCCCGTGAGCTTCTCTAAAACTGCCCCTCAGCCTCTCTGAAAACTGCCCCTCAGGTTCTCGTAAAACCCCCCATCAGTCTCCCTCAAAACGACATCACAGCCTCTGTGAAGCCTCCTCCTCAGCCTCTCCAAAATGGTCCCACAGCATCTCTGAAACCTGCCCCACAGCCTGCCTGAAAACTGCCCTCAGCCTCCCTCAAAACTAGCTGTGGGCTTCCCTGAAAACTGCCCCGCAGCTTCCCTGAAATCTGCCCCTCAAACTCTCTGAAAACTGCCCCAAAGCCTCTGTGAAAATGGCCCCACAGCATCTCTGAAACCTGCCTCACAGCCCCCCTGAAAACTGTCCCTGAGCTTCCCTGAAAGCTACCGCTCAACCTCTCTTAAAACTCCCCCTCAGTCTCCCTGAAAACTACACACAGCCTCTTTGAAGACTGCCCCTCAGCCTCCCTGAAAACGGCAACTCATGCTCTATGAAATTGCCCCTCAGCTTCCCTGAAACCTGCCCCACAGTCTCTCCAAATACTGCCCCTCATCCTCTGTGAAGACTGCTCCTCAGCCTCTCAAAAACTGGCCCTTGGCCTCCCTGAATCCTGCCCCAAAGCCTCTGTGAAAAGTATCCCTCAGCCTCTCTGAAAAGTGCCCCTCAAACTCTCTGAAAACTGCCCCTCAGCTTCCCTGAAAACTGCCCCACAGCCTCCC